CACTGCTGGCCGCCCCCGATATCCCGTGGCCATCCCTGTTCCGCCTGACCCCCACCGACCAGCCCTGCTTCCTGTCGGCCCCCCCCCCCCCCTTCCTGGCCAGCACCGCTCCCCTCCTGGCCGGTCCCTCTCCCCCATCCCCCCATGAAGCGTGTCCGGTATTTTTTTTATGACTACCTGGTAACCCTACCCTGGTAAGCAGCCACCAGCAGCTTTTGCAATAAAACCCTGCTTGGCCAGCCCCTATGTCCCTGGGGTAAAGCATGCTCCTTGATCAGCGGACATGGTGTCTATGCAGTCCCAGCTGCACATGGCCGCTGTGAGGGGCTGGTGCATATCGACTGCATCTTCACAGAGATCACTAGTCACATTTTAAACAGACCTCTGCTGAGCATGGGCAGATTTTTCTTGGGTGGCTTATAAACATACATAGCCACATGGGTGACTCAGGGGGAGGGACACAAAGGGGGCATCAGCCCCACCTCCATTTGACTCCTCCCCACACCACCCTAAGCCCCGGACTCACACATTTTCCCCATCCCGTTCTATATTCCCAGGGCAAGGGGGGTCCTGTCCTGCTGCACTGGACCAGGTGATATCTCCTGTCCCAGGCAGTGTTGCAGAGGCTGCCTGAGAGAGTGCAGCAGCCATGCAGCTTGGCTGGAAGAGCCCTTTGCCCCTGCCCCCACCACAGAATTGGGAGGGGGGGCATATGACCCTTCTTCCACCCTTGCCCCTCCCCACGCATTGCCCTGTTTAGCCAAATGTTCACAGGAACACCAAACGCTGTATTTGACAGCAGGCGGATCCCTGCCCAATGCCCTGTTCCCAACCTGGAGCATCTCAACTAAATGGTTTTAATATTTTTTTTAATAGGGGTAAAACAAATCTGATTTCAGGAAACAGCTGAAGTGATGTAGCTGAAACTTCCCCCTCCTTTGTCCCGCCAAAGCATCAGCCTCTTGCAGATACTTCAGGGGAGGAGGGGGAGAGGGAGTGGGAATTTCAGCCCAAACCATTTAGTTTTTCAAAAGCTTTTATGAACAGCTAAAAGTGTGGTGGTATAATGGAATGTGGGAGGCTACCTGAACTACGGGCAGCAGCAGTAATACGCAGGCAAACCCACACGCATGAAATTCAGATCTCCGTGACTTGGCCTTAAGTACTGTGGCCCTGATTCAAATATCAGGGAAGCCCATGCTTAGCTACTTTCCTCCATCAAGGGCACTATTGCTTCAGGCCAGCTGGTGAAACGACTTCACTGGAAGCAGCACATGGGGCAACTGAGTTGGGAAGAGACTCACTGAATCCATTTTATTGATTCTTTTAAACTCATGTGACTCCAGTGGCTAATTACCATATTGATGAAAGGGAGTTAAAGAGCCATCTCTTTCATTAAAGTTGGAGGGCTCATAATATACATTCCTGAAGCCCCCAATCAGGATCCTCCAGTGAAACACTAATTCTGTTGATTTCTAGGATAAAAACAGGAAAAAAAAGGGGGCGGCGTTTCAGGCCTTTTTAAAAAAATATATCAGAAATAAACTAAAACTTTTTTAAAAAAATGTTGGCAGGTCCCCTTTGACTGTTTCCCCTTCAGTCTAAATGCTTTATGTATTTTTCATGTAAAGCAAACTTCCTTCCTTGGCTCTCCTGCCACATTTTGCCCTCTAAGCATAATGAGAAGCCCTTTCTATTTGGAGTTCTGCTCAAAGTGGTCAGCCCTAAGTTCAGGGGGTGGGGCCAGCTAGAGGTTCAGTGATGACACACTAGTTTTCCCAGAGAAAGTCATTAAAACTGGCTGGCTTCCTTGAGACACTCATCAGAGGGGATAGCCAGAAGCTGGGAAAAGATTGATTAGGACCAACTCAGTTAGTCCAAGCCCAGGCATTTCTTGATTGATCTATGCCTCGTGTCAAGCAGCCTGCTGGAAACACATTGATGACAATTTTGACAGGCAGCTGCAGTTGGATGGGTGGAAACTGCTTGTGCACAATTATCAGCATCGATTTGCTTTTTCTCTCTCCAAGTTCAGTGCCTGGCGCTCCTCCCTCCACCTTACGGTTCCTATTACATTGAGAAGGGCACCGGCATCTCTCTGGGCTCAGTCATTGTGTACTGGTGCAGAGAGGGGTATCAACTGGTGGGCAGCGGGAAGCTGGCCTGCCTCCTCCAAGACAGCATCTCCTACTGGAGTCACCCCGCACCTCACTGCAAAGGTAAGGCGAGGCCAGGTGAATCAGTAGCATTACTTCAGCTGGCACGGACTTAACAGCTTCATGGGGTAGCCGAGTTAGTCTGTACAGAAAAAACAACAAATGGTCTGGTAGCACTGAAGCAGTGGGCTGTGCCCAGAAAAGTTCATGATACCATCTACATGTTTCGTTAGTCAATAAAGTGCTACCAGACCATTTGTTGTTATTGACTTAACTGATTGTTAACACTATAACAACTCCTCAAGCCTTAGGCAATCTCAGTCCACTTCCCCATGGACAGGTCACTCCGGCCCTCAACTCACTAGTGGGAGGCTGTAATGCCTACTCCTTGGATAGGTTAGTAGGAATTTCAATAAAAAACAAGCCCAGGGAATTTGAACGGTCTCATCCCTCTCAGAGGTGGGCCCTCTGATATTGGGGAAAGACAAGGGGGGAATGGAGCAACACATGAAAATGACACCAGACTACCCCATCCCTGCCCGCCCCCCCCGTCCCTCCCCACCTATGCCAGTTTGGTGGCGAGAGCAAGAGGACTTTACATTGCAAGACTAGCAATTGGCCCCACCCCCAAAGTGCTACATTTGTTGAAAGAAAAAAAATGGGGGGGACCTCAAACACTTCAGGCTCCAGGATACTCAGAACTAAGCACCAACAAGGCTGTGAAAATTATAGCCTTACTCGGTGATTAGGCAGGATGCGGACAAAGGCAACATGTCTGGCGAGAGCAAGAGGACTTTACATTGCAAGACTAGCAATTGGCCCCACCCCCAAAGTGCTACATTTGTTGAAAGAAAAAAAATGGGGGGGACCTCAAACACTTCAGGCTCCAGGATACTCAGAACTAAGCACCAACAAGGCTGTGAAAATTATAGCCTTACTCGGTGATTAGGCAGGATGCGGACAAAGGCAACATGTCATGAATCCAACACTATTCCCTTTCTGCCACCAGAGCTGTGTCTACACTGCACCCCTTTTCCGGAAAAGGGATGCAGATTAGACACTTCGGAATTGCAAATCCGCGGGGGATTTAAATATCCCCCGTGGCATTTGCATTTACAT